GCCCGACCCCGGGGGCTGCGGGCTGCGCGGAGGGTCCCCGCGGGACCCTGCCCGCCGCCGGGCTTGGGAGCTCCCCAAAATACCGGCGAGCCCTCCATCCTTCCTAGGGCTGTTTTTGCCGCTTAATTAGGAAGAATTAACCTCAGCCCACACCCCCCCCCCAGCCCACCAAACGCCGGCAGCACAAGCCGCTGCGCGGGCGCGGGGGTTGTGTTTGTCCGTCCGTTCTTGGCGGTGCCGCCGGGTCCTCGGGTTAACGGCGGGGGGGGGATATCGCGGGGGGTTGTGTTTGTCCGTCCGTTCTTGGCGGTGCCGCCGGGTCCTCGGGTTAACGGCGGGGGAGTCATATCGCGATAGGTCTGCGTGTCGCAACAGCCCCCCGGACCGCGGCGCGGGGAGCGGCGGGCGCGGTGTGGGGCTGCGGGGAGGGCTGTGGGGCTGCGGACCCTGCCAAGGGATTAACCCTCATTTGAAGGTTGCTCTTTAGCTGCCCAGACACAGCGACAGCGCGCGTGCCGACCTCCAAAAAATACTTTTCTGTATGAAAGCGGTATTTTTACAAAGGGACTAGCTGAACAAATCGATTCTTTTTTTTTTTTTTTTTTCAAAAAAACCCCGCTACTCTAGCTTTATCTTCTGTTCCCGTCAGGATATTTTTATCTTGTAGTACGATTCTTTTAAATAGTTGGGATCGCTTCTAAGCCTTTTTATCCCGAAGACTTGTTTTTTCCCTCCTAATCTGTTTTACTTGTTAAAAAAATTCTTACATTTTATTTAGGAAAAACATTGACCTTTTTTTGTACCGATAGGAAAAGTCAGTCCCTGTATGTTGTCTGTAGGGAAAAAACTCTTGGCTTGTATTTGGGTTTCTTTTCTACAGCAAAACATAAAGCTCTAAGGGCCGAGGTTGTTTTAGAAAACTCTCTTTGATGGTCCCAAAACATCTTTTCCTGCTATTGAAGACTGTCTTTCAACACAAAAAAAAAAAAAAAAAAGGAAAAAAGCAACTTGGATGAATTTAACTAGGGAATCCACTATGCATCTGAACTCTGTTATATGCACTTCCAAATAGAGCCCATTCCCTGTAGGAATTAAAACAGCAGCAACATAGCCTTCTTCATAACAAATCTTGGAAAGCATTTGCTGTCATTCCTTGTTTTTCAGGCAGAAATTGGTTAGTTTGTGTTAAAAGTAACAAAATCTTCCTGATAGATGAACTCTTCTTAGTCTTTTCGGAGCTTATGTATTTCACTGTAGACCGTATGAGAGAGACTATCAATAAATATTGTCTTTAGATAGCTTTCCTATCAGTACGGAAATGCAAAAGCCTCTGTTCATAATCCTGTTGAAAACAGAGCCCTGAACTCGTGTAGAGCAGCGGATTCAAAATAATTTTCTTAACAAAGGCATCTTGCATATGAAGAGTTCATCCTAAGGCACTGTTTGACCTCTTGGTCTCTCATTATTATCAAGTCATCAGAGGGTCTTTGGAGAGAAAGGGGAAAAAAAACCCCGAGATACAGTTTATTTGTAAAACCTACCGTGTAGCTTTAAAGCACATTCACAATGAAGGAAAAAAAAAAAAAAGAAAGCACAAAAGAAATCTCTCTGATTTCAGGAAGTCTTACAAAAACAAAGTTAGTGCAAATTACAGATTTTTGGGGAAAGTGCAATGGAGTTGAGAAGCGAGGATTTAGAACAAAAGCTCTCTGAACTTAGGTTAGAAAGCAGGGAGTGAAAGGCTGTTTTAGACGCAAACATGTTTGCTTATGTATTAATTTCATGAATATAATTTCTTTAGGCATGGCTATAATTGCTCATGAAAAATAGGGCATTGTCATGTCAAAACTGTGGCATGTGCCGCTCTGAATTTTTTCGGGGGCCGGGGGCTGAAATTCTGCCTCTTCCTCTTTTTAAATTCTTTCTTTTTTTAAAGTGAAATTATTTCAGAGTTGCGATCGCTTTGGTTACTGAATGCTTATTAGGAAGCGAAGTACAACACATGACAGAAGCTCACCCAAATGTTGAATATATCATTTATATTTTACGACAGTGAATTATATAGAAGATTCTCAAGTAACTTTCAAATCATCAAACTGTAATTAAATATTGCAAAGACTGTCTGAAAATTCTTTAATTTTTAATGAAAGTTAAATATATATTGTCAGTCTACTTGAAGGTGTAGTATTTTAATGCATGACGCTCAGAACAAATTGGATAATGAAATGATTACTTTTAAATGAAACTGTTGCAGAAGTGTACATGTTTCTGCTGGCAAGGATCTTCTCAATACTCACACACGCACATTCACACACTCAATAATTGTGAATTCCCAGACTGAAATTACAGCTACTCTGAGGTTTCTGGTGGCAAATTAAAAATCCCACAGAAGCAAATCCTGAATGAGTTAGGTTCCCCAGGTCATACAGGGAAGTATCTGTGGCTCTCTCCTTATATTAAATAATAATTTTTTTTTTTTAATACGGACAGATCAGATTTAAATGTATTCTCTTTGTCTCACAGTTAGACATTGCAAGGTTTTTTACAGCAGCAGATTGTTAAGCTAGGTAAGAGGAAATACAGTCTGTTCTGCAAATCAGACCTAGATTTCTGCATGTAGGATTGCGACTCACGGATTCGACATAAACGTCCCATTAGGAGCACGTGTTGGATGAGCGGGTAGACTGGCAGGGCTTCCCTGTGCTGGATGCTATGCATGTAATCAATAGGAGAGATTCCTGCTCCTATGGAGTTCTTGATCTGAATAAGTTGGGGATTTGTTTGTGGGGCTGTGCCCAACTAAGAAACTCACGGCAGGAGTCCCGTCACGGGTGGAACAGGGGGATCTCCGTGTCCTGGTGCGCGTGTCTGTGCTCTCCATCAGCTGTGATGCACGATGGGAAGCAGGGCTGGAGGGTGAAGTTACTGAAGTAACCAAGAATTTTGTTGCAGATTCCATCCCAGGGCAGATCTGGGATGTTGGTATGAGCTATGCACGCGCTGCCCCAAAAGATGAGCTTCCCTTGCACGCGTGCTCCTTGGTAGTCCGGGCTGTGGGACTTCTGAATGGGAAACCCAGGCAGGATTGGTCTCAAAGTGCATCTTTTTGAGCTATATGCAGGATAACGCGCTTGGCCTTCGGTGGTGGCCCCAGAGAAGTGTCGGGTAAGATGGGAATTACACGCCTTTGAGGGGTCTCGCTCAGTTCCCAAAATGTGCCCCCGTCATTTAAAAACTGTAAATACTAGACACAAATCGTTAATGTTGCGGGGAAGTTCTTTCCAGTTAGGGTAACAACATTCGGCGTCAATACTGGCTTAATTAAATTTTCTTTTATGTTATCTTGGCACCTCATTTTATGTCGGGATCACATTCCTAATGCGTTCAAAACCCTGTAGGATCCCAAACTTTATAGCTGTTGCTTTCCGTAAAGCAGCAGCTCCTACCGCAGTAGGTCTGGCTCTAACAATGATGCATTCTGAAATCGCCTGCAAAACGTGAAAGATGTCTGGTCTAATAAAACCGGAGTTTTTAGGCAAGTCTAAGGATTTTAATGCGTTTACGGAGAAGAGATGCCTTCTATTTCTTCAGCTGTATTTTCATAAAGTTGAGATATTTCACTATTAGGAAAGATGGAGGAAATAAATCTGAAATACTTGTTCCCCACCCATTTTTCCTTCAGCCGTTCTCATCCATAAGATATAACGGATGCTAATACGGCTCAGGCATCTTAAAAATCATAAGTTTTGCACGATAGCTATTGTCTGTAGCTGAGAGTCCTCATGAGTCAAAAATCCTTCCTTCAGACTTCAGACTGTTTATATTTTGCTTTTTTTTTTTTTTTTCCCCCGTACTGTAACTCTGGATGCAAATGGTTTTTTCTGTTGACTTCTCTATCATTCTCTGATGTCTGCAGATATTTGATCAGCTCTCTATTCTGTGCATAGCATGGCCCTTCTCTGGCAGCTACACGCATGGGAAAAAAAATGTTATCAATAAGTTCAGAGGAGCCTCAGCAGACTCGGAGAAATTTCACACAAACATAAAACAAAACCTAACCCCTGTGACGGGGAAAGTTTACATTGCGCCAGATTTTAGCAGCTTTCTTGTGCCTTTGGTGAGATGTCAGAAGCGCAGGTGATTTTAATTTTCTTGTACAGAGAGGAATGGAGAAGTTTGGAATTTGCATGCATGATCAGGACCTGTGTTTGGGAAAATGTAAACTCATCACAGTGGAAAATGTGTTGTTTGGAGTCTGAGGGTGAAAACAAAGCTGAGGATTTTGGAGAGACTGCCTGAGCCAGATGGCCTGGTGCATTCCCAGTCTGGCAGCCCAACTGCTCCCTCCTGTATAATATACAGCCATTTGTTCTGGGATATTTACGCTAGAGCTGTTTCCATGTGAATGTTTGAAAACCATTAAAAATGAACATATTAGGAGAGATAAATTTATTTAATTTGTGTGAATACGTCGATAAGCAGGCTGTGTATCAAAGGCAGAGGGAGGCTGGATAAAATAATTAGATGCTACTGAATTGTGCACTGAGAGGGACAGCAAGAGCTCAGCGTCCTCGCCCTGGGACCCAGCCCCGTGCTACTTCTCCGGGATAAACCTCGCCGGGATGAGTTGAAATTTTGCCTGGGGAATGGGGTAAAACCTCGGGTAATTAAGGGTTAAGCATTCGCAGCCAAATAAATGTAATTCACAGTATTTTCTGCGCAGATATATAGCGGATACAAGCCTAATCCTCACTGGGTGAAATTCTGGCCCATCTGAAGTCAATTGCAAAGCTCCTATTGAATTCGGTGGGGCCACGGTTTTATTTTCTCTCTGTGTGTAGGGCTGTATACGTCATTACAAATCATTTTAGTTCTGTTTTTGAAAAGACCCTCATTTTAATGAGTTTTTCTTTCTCCTTTATTTCAATAAAGGAGATAGTTTGTTTTGTGAAACAGATGAGGAGTTTGAAAGGGAGTGGATTTAGATGTGTGTTGTGATTTCTCTCCTCTTACTCTTTTAAAATCAAGGCCATGACATAACTGAGGTGATTTCTCTCCTTCTCTTACTCTTTTAAAATCAAGGCCATGACATAACTGAATAATATAATGGCCATGATCTCATTCCTTCAAGATTGTTTTTCGTCCAGTTCAGAAAGCAGGGTTGCTTGACTGGCAAACTGACACCACGAGACGATTCTGCCCTGGGTTGTACCAGCATAAATCTGGATTTATGCAGGAACAGCTAAGGACAAAATCTGGCTCTCTATTTTTTCCAACTTATTTGTCAACTATTTTACTGCTTTATCCTGCCGTCTTTACTGGGAAAAAAGTGGATTAAATGAGAACTGTAGCCTTGACTTTTATATTACTCCCCTCCCTTTTATTTTATTTATTTTTTTTTTTTTTTAAGGAACTCCATCACTGAAAACTTTAGGCGAATTATTGGACGCACTTGTTGTCTAGAAATGACGGCGATGTGCTCGATTTAGTAATTTTTATTTGCTGGCAAGCAGTGAATTGCATTTAATTTAACTTTTTATGCAGCTTTATTTAATTGCGAGTAAGGAAGTCTTATATTTTGACAGTCATTTTTTGGGGCCTGATTTTGAAATCCGTTTGTGCATGAGTGATCGTTACTCACTGAGACTTCTTGTAGAAAGGTTACTTGGGTGAGTAATGGCTCACAAAATGGCAGATGAATTTTGTGGGGAAATATTGAGGTTGTTCAGGAGAAAAAAAAACTATTTTGAAATGCTTATGAAATGCACCGAGTTAAAACTACACGAAGTAAACAAAGAAAAAAAAAAAAAAAAACCCAACAAAGTCTGTAATTTTGCATTTCCTTTGCTGGTGTTTTGTTGTGCAACCCTGATGTGTATTTGCAGGCTTATTTTTAGCTCTGCTGTGGTCTAAGTTTATACACTGTAACTTTCACTTTATCTCTCATTAATGCCATCCCTGTTCGACAAAATCACGACGGCGTTAGCGCCACGAGGAATCCTGCTGCAGTCACCCTGCTTTCAAGCCTGAACTTTTTAAAAAATAATCATGAAAAAAAATAATAATTAAGATTTTTTTTTGCCAAAGGAGTAGCTTTTCAAATCTTAGAGTTAAAAATTTTCACAGCAGTAACGTTGTAGACCCTTCCTGTAAAAATACTTCTGGCAGCTATAACGATCTGAAACTTTAGCAGTTCCTGTTTCCTTTTTGAAACTAATTGTAGAATTAATGCTTTAGAGCAGCGCCGTTTGCAAGGCGGCAGGGTATCTGTCGTGCTCTCGGGCAGCCATTCATGGGAGTGAGCGGCTGGTGCTTTGCACACGCGCTCGCACAAGTAAATCGGGACACGGGAATGGGCATGGGGGACGAGGTGCTTGGAAATTAACAATTCCTCCCGCTTCCCAGAATTTCCTAGAAACTCCTGCAGGAATAGGGTATAGCGGGTGTATCTGCGCTTAACGGGGAGAAAACAAAACGCACGCGGGTACGACATCGGTAATTAAATGCAAATAAAGTGAAAAGCAAATCCTTAACGTAGAGGAAGGCAGAAGAATGTCATGCAGGCAAAGAAGGGATCACTGATGCTAAACACAACAGACAAGGTGATTATGTACCGCAGTGTTGACTCTGCCCGTTCATTATTGCTATTTAGTGGAGTTATTTAAGCGGGTACCTGGAGGTTAAGTAAGCATAGCAGCGGGGAGAGAAGAGGAAGAGAGAGCGGAGAGGGGGGAAAAAAGGAAAGTAAATTTTGTGTTCTGGTTTGTCATTTCTAGCACTTCTTTGGCTTCACCGGCAACAAGATAACCCGTGTTGGGTGCACTTATATTAAAATTTGAAAGTCTAAGAGGAATGCGCCAAGTCCAGCAGTCCCCTCTCGGGCACCGTTCGCCCCATGTCATACTGTGGTGTGTGGAGGTGCAAGGGGACTGGAGGTGTTTGTCTCCACTAAAGGCCTCGGGAGTAGATCTGTTCTTTACGCCCCATGCTCTGCACTCTCAGAGGTGGATGGTTCTTTAATTATTGATTGATTAAGTCCAAAAAGTGCCGTGAGCTTCCCACTGTGCCTCGCCTGTCCCACTGCAAGTTGGAACCCGTTTTGAGGTTTTTTGGAGTCCTTGCAATGTCCCCACTGAGTGACCCCACCGGTTGTCAGATGATTACTTTCATCCCCTGGTTTTGGCTGGAAGAAGCTTCTCCCCGTCTTTCCCTTCAATGCATGGAAATGAGGATCTTCTCAGTTTGTCCCATTTCCTGATGTAACACACGGATGACCACACTGCCATCACCCAAGGCCTCTTGCAAACCACCTGTAGCTCTCTTGGGCGCTCATGTGGAAGAACCTTGAGGTGTGGGCCAGCAACCAAGCAGGGACCTGGGGTCCCAGCTGGGGTCAGGGGGGTTTCCTGGTGTCTGTGCTGCATGGACTTTGCATGCATCCTGTTACCTCTTTTGTGTCCCCGTTACAGGAGTGCTGGGATCACAGGTTTTGTGCCTCGCTGGTGGGAATGAGGGAGCAGGAACCAGGTGAAACTCTGTGCCCATTAGTTGCAAGGAGACCATCGCCCTTTGTCTTATCTTATCAGCAAAAAAAACCTGCACTGGCTGTCAGATTTTAGGGGAATGCACATAGCAGAACCAAAATGAAAAAATTAAAATGAGCAAAGATAACACAGCCCCAACCCTGATACTATTTATGGAATCATTAAATCATTTTACAATGCATAATATTAATATTGCATATTGCTATTAAAATGGTGTTAAAAAATCAGCTCATGCTGATTTTTGCATCCTGAGATCCCTTTGCAGGTACAACACCTCTTACCCTTGGCAGGTTTTATTTGCAAGGACTGAGAAAGCAGTTAATGTGATGTTACTTCATCATCTATTAAGATAACTTACTTTTTGTCGTTATTTTCCACACTCCACTTCAAAGTGGTCTCATTCCATAAAACATATTTCATCCATGTAGTATAGTTTTATTTTTTATTTTCAATATCTGTTTTATTGTTATTAGGGATACCCATATCAGATGTCATTTTATCTGAAGAGTTTGTTCTCCAATTTCTTCTTTCTAAGTCTGATTTTAGAGGCTGAAAAGGTCACACCACAGGTCAAGGGAAGAGCTGATGCTTGGTCATCTCACTCAAGGCTAGGGCTCTGATCGTTCATCCCAGCTCTGGAGTGGGACCCTAAACCATTTAGGAGCCTCAGTGCTACTGGAAGATGCTGTTGCAAAGGCAACTTTTTTTATTTTAACTGTTGTTTTGCTGCTGGGGGGCTGGTGCCTGGGACCAGGGGTGGTTGGAAAACACAACTGTGTCCTGCTGGGATGGAAACCCTGTGAGCACTAACCTAGTTTGTGTGTAACGCCGATCCCTCGCCGTCGGTTCTGCCGGGGGAAGGATTGCAAACATAGACTCTTCTTGAAATGAGAATACACTGTCTTTCCATGGTTTTAACTTAAAGGATTCTCCCCGTGCTATCTCAGAGTCAAATTTCTCAAGCTGGTTGATCCTCTGTTTGTTTTGGTATCCTCTGCTCTGGCAGAGCCTGCCTCTCGCTTATTTATATCCCCATAACTCCGGAGTTGCTCTCCGGAAAGCGGCGGATCACGATGTTCAAGGGGAGAATCAGGCCCAGGCGCTTTCTCAGGAGCTACCAGGAAAATGCCTGGGCTGTGCAGCTTTTGTAATTAAAAATACATGAGCTCTCTCTTTTCTGTCTTATTTTTTTAATGAATAGGACCCAAAGTATGCCAAGCCTCGCTGTTTTTTTTTTGTTGTGTTTTTTTTTTTTCCCCTCCTTTTTTTTTTTTTCTTTTAATGCTATTAGGTTATATTTTATTCTGAATTGAAAAGAAAATTGTGGTTGTCTTGACTACTAAAAAAACCCATCCTACACACCGCTTGAGAGATGTGCAACGGAGAGGAGGGAATTTAGCTGTACTCAGCTTGTGTTGTTTTCCAACTGCAAGTCTTGGAGCAGGTTCGGTGGGGACGCGGGCTCGTTAGCCTGAGACTTGGCCACTCCAGCTGCCCCTTTGGCTACCGCGACGCGTTTTTATTTTCTCCAAACTCCACTCGATGCACAGCTAAAACTGTGTTTTGTTTCTAGGCGATAGTATATGAAGGCCAAGACAAGAACCCAGAAATGTGCCGAGTTCTGCTCACGCATGAAATAATGTGCAGGTAAGAAATATACCCCGCTTCCAGTTAATTAGTGACGAGAAGATGAACTTGGCTCTCAAAATCTAGGTTGAACCTGCAGCTATTTTCGGACTTAAATTTATCTTTCTTGCATTAAACAATCCCAAAATAACACAGTTCGGTGTGTGTAATTAGCAGCAAGGTCTCAGTCGTCACACTGGTTTTCAATTATTTATAAAGAGTTATTCTGAACAGAACGCTACTGGTTTTCATTTAGACACCGTAGCCCACAAAAGGTCTCCTCACCAAAATTAACAGTCAATTATAGTCTTCTAGCAATAAACGTCTCTGTCCCCAATTCCCAACAAAGACTACTCAGTAAGATGACAAAATAGTAATTTTGGTTGGTTTTTTTTTGGACGTGCATTAAGACTTGAAGTCAGGAGGCCTTTCTTGTCCCAGTTGCTGCTCACCCAAGGTCCCCACTTGGCTGGAGCGGAGCAGGTGATACCATCCACACAAGGGATGTCTTCTTGTTGATTTTTTTTTTGAACTTCCCCATGCAGATTCGGCTCTGCCCTGTGCTCTCTTTCCCTGAACATGCCTGCCTGGGGTTGGACACTTAAATTTGGGACAGTCAAATATCTTCTCTCCTGAAGGTGGTACCTCTGCATCGGGCAGCTGCTTCCTTCTCTCTTCTGGCTGATGGAAATAGGTGAAGCCTCTTCTGCTTCCTTTTTACCACGGAGAAGGCGGCAGCTTCCCACAGGCCCCTCCGACACCTAGGAGAGCTTGACCTTGCAGTCTCATTAAAGTTAGTGGGTGTTTTTTGCATGTCTGAAAAAATCATTTGTTACATGTTATTCGATGGCAGAAAATAATTCCCTGGTGGAAGACGAGGCGTTCTTGCATAAGCTCATTGTTACAATCAGTTGTTTTAAGACTGTAAAAATGCCATTGCATGCGTTGTAACTTTTACAAAACACATTTGCTAAAAAGGAGTAACTTGAGGGTAAAAACTAGTGCCCACTTCTAAGAGAATAAACTTGGATGAGGGTTTCCTGGTGGGGGAGAGCCTTAGACAACATATTCAGATGGAAATTTCTCTGTTGGTTGATTTTTTTTTTTTTTTAATTTTTTTTTTTTTTTTTTTTCATTCTTGGCGATCTGCATGTTTTGTCCTCCATGGCAGCTCCTCCCTGATAAAACCCTGCTGGAGGGTAGCACCCTGCGGTGCTGGCAGGGAAGGAGCTGCTCTCCTTGCTTTGCCAACCCTGGGGTGAAACCCCACACAGCCCCACCCCAGATTCTTCCTTGCAGGATTTGGGGAATTTTAGTTTTCGTGTTGTATTTTTCTAGGCCGCTTCCTTGGGTAGGTTTGGCTTCTTCCAGGAAACCAAAGACAACCCATTACAGCCCCAGAAGGATCAGAGCAGACGGGTGGCTCCAAGAGGAGGTCCTGCTGCTGCTGGGACCTGCAGCATCGCTTTGCTGGGGATTCCTGGCCAGTTCTCCCTTTCCAAATGGAAACCCAGTAGCGCTGACAACTCATAATTGCCCTAAAATTCATTGGCCAAATTAGCACCACTTTCACACTAGATACCTAGCTAGGAACAATTCATGGAAATATTAAAGGAGGCCCCTGACCTGATAAGGCTGAAGTGCACGCTTTGCTTTTCTCCTGTAATAGACCAGTAAAACAGTGGGACTGTTCACGCGAGTAAAATTAAGCACGTGCTCATGTGCCTGCAGTGTCAGGGTCTGAATCTGCTGTTACTCCTGGGTGAAGAGCCCTCCTGATCCCTAAACCCTAAACGGCAGGGTTTTGAGGTGGGAATCACATCTGCCTGCCACTCACTGAGCCATCCGTGCAAAAGGAAGAATCACCTACTTTGATGCGTGAATTTTCTTACAAATATTTCAGAAACATAAAGAGTAAAAAGTAAATTAAAACTTTATATAGAGGGTTGAATTTTAACCAGAAGACCAAATACCCACATCAAAGATTTATGGCCGTTCAATATACTTTGACTGAGACAAAATTATTTCCGTTCTGGGAATGTGGAAAGATGTGCAGTCTTCCCCTTTATTAAAGCACTTTACACTTTCTTTGTTCCTAAAATTCACTGGATCGGGAGCTTTATTCTTCTCCTTCTATTTATTTACTGCTAGTCCTTGCCTTGTGTTTCATAACCATAAGGTGGAGGGGTAGCGAAAAAAAATAATAAATCTGACCATAGTAGGCAAATGTTGTGTGCCTGACGGAGTGGGGGAGGCATATTCAAATTTCTTACAGCTCATATTAGATATTACCCATTTCCCTCTCTGCCTATACATGTGTAAGAGGGTGCTGTTTGTTTACCAGGCCGCTTGACCCTATTGCACAAATCTGTCATCTATTGTGCTGCTAACACTCTTTTAAATTGCAAATCTGATGCTCTTTAGGGGTCTAGAAGGGGAAAAAAAAATCTCTCTCCACACCATTCTGTTTCTCTTGATTTCTTGCCTGTTGTAAGTGGAAGTTGGGATGTGCTGAATTTGCACCAGGGGTGCAAATGCAGCCTCAATTATAAGCATAAAATTAGAGTCTGTTCCCCATTAATCAGCCCAGCTAATTGCTATGCACTACCATTAGCCATATGGTGTGAAAGACAGCTTGCTCTCCCTAAGATGAAATTTCTTCATTTCAGACATGAAATAGTGAGGGCTCTGTATTTTAAAATAGCTTGTTTTAGATATTTAATTTCTAAACAACTTTCAGCAGTGCTTTCTATCAAGGCTAACTGCACAATAAAACTTTGCATTTGTGTGACAAAGCTGGATATTTATAGTATACTACAACTATGGCACGGATAAGACAAAGAATTCAAATGTATAGGAGAGTCCTGGTTGTGGCTGGAAAGCGGGGCTGAGATTTGCTTCAGGTGGCTGTTTATTTCAAAGGATTTCATTGTGTTTTGTCAAATATAAAAATCTCCGCTGTTGGCGAAAATGTTAATAGCTGGGGAGAATTCACAGCCTCAGTGGAATTTATTAGTATTGTAGGCAGCATGGGGAGGGACATCTATAGTTAATATTGCCTCAACAATTTCCATTATGAAACCTTCAGTGGCTTACAGCTTTGCCAAACTTAAACTGTTCTGGCTGAAATGTCCTTTGCAGGGTGTCAGCCTCAGGCTGACTTTCTTTGGAAAGTTTCAGCTAAAATGGTTCAGTGATTTCTGAGAATGAGGTTGGAGTAAAATATGGTTTTTGTCTGTGTCAAATAAAATCTTAACAGCTGTTTTGGCAAAGGAGCTCCTGTACCTCCACGCTTCGGGGCGAGGAGCCTGTTTGGGGCAGGGGTTGTCCCGGCTGTGTCGTCTGCGGGATGAAACCCACCTCGCCGGGAGCTTCTGCAAAAAAAACTGCCACCCGGACTCGCTAACGACTTGTTAGAGCCTGGCAGCTAAATGATCGGAAAGTCGCCTTCGCGCTGGCCACGTGCCACCGCCCCGTAATTTCTCATTGTTCATTGTCCCCGCAGAAAGCCCGAGCGAGCAGATACACAAAGCAGGGCTCCTCCTCGCGCGAGCGATGCTCCTGGCCACCACGCCGGGGTGGGGACCGGGGGGATTCGGGGGTGCCAGACATCGGGGTGAGGAGGCCATCTCCTATGCACCCGGGCAGTGTGGGATAGAGATGCTCCAGCGCAGGGGAAGAGGAGGAGGAAGATATGGAGCAAGATGGCAGGAGGGCAGCAGGTCCCCAGAGGGTTGGGGTGAGGACAAAGGCAACAACAAAAGCTGGGAGTGGTGGTGGTGGAGGCCAGGGGATGGGGAGGCCTGAGAAGGGGCAGGATGGGGATGGCGTGGGGCTTGGGCACAAGCCCTGGGGATGGCGAGGATGGCAGTAGGAGTGGAGGAAACCTGGGGCAGGCAGAGATATGGGGCGCAGGAGCTGGAGTGGGTTCTAGTGGCAAGAGACTTCATTACTATCAAGGACTACTTGTTATAAAAACAAAACATCTCTCAGACAAAGCCATTTTTGCAGGGTTTTTCTGTGGGCCATCACGATGTGCCTGAGCCCTGGCTCCCTGCCCAACTTGGGAACAGGCATCATGGAGGGACAGCAAGGACAAGTCCTTGCCCTCCTGGCTGCGAGGATCCAGGGCTCAGCACCTCTCCCTGCACTTTCACAGAGCTTCACTAGGAGCTGGAGGGTTTCTGGGTGACTTGGGGAAGCTCCTAGGAATTTTTAAATTCCTTCGGGGAAAGGAGAAAGGATGCTGAATATTTAGGAACTTTTTTTCCAAGTGTTAAATAGTCACTGCAAGCCAAAGCTTTTGAGGCAAGTTGAATTAGAAGCACTTCTCGTGCCACACAACCATGTCTCAAACTCGGAGGTTTGTGTGATGTTTTCATTCTCTGCATTGATAAACTATCGTAGATGAAGCCTTGGATTCTGCTGTGGGGGGAAAAAATGCAAAAGGCAAGCTAAGGTTTGAAAAAATAATTATGTAGAACATGAAAGGACATTTGGGGTCTCCCTTCTTGCTACAGAGCCACCAGACAACGGGATGTGCCGGCTGTGCACCTCCTCCACGTCACCCTCAAACTGCAGTGGAAGGAGTGAGGTCTCCACTTGTGACTATTGGGATGCACTTTTGGGAAGCCCTATCCAAACGAGGGGGCCACCCAATAAGCGACGTGGTGTTTCCCCGGCTCTGGAAGCCGGGTTGTCCCCGTTGGCCAGTGCCTGTCTCCATCCCACACAGGGCAGGAGAAGAGACCAAGGCACCCCCATCCCCGGGCCCCTGTGGCCGACTCTCCCGCTGGGTTAGTGCCCCGGGAAGGTGCCAGCCTCCGAGCCTGGTGGTGCATGGATGGTGGCATCTGCCCATCTCGGGCTGGGAGCCTGGGAACCTTTGCTCGCCTGAGTAAGTGTGGCAATTTCTGTCCCTCCAGTCTGCTGTGAGAATGTCAGGACTAGCCCTGATTTGCTTCAGTCACAAGAACTGCATTGTCTTAACTTGTGCCAACTCTGTTTCTAATTACATTTTAATCATTTAAAAATGATTAGCAGTTTTTATTGCCTTGTTTGTGGGTAAATTTTCTCACCCCACACATTCTAGCTGCACTCCAACGACAAGTCCTTTTATAGGCAAAAAAGCCCCCCGAACGTCCACATGACTATTTACCTACAGCATATTTTATTCCTTCCTAAATTTTAATACTTTCTGGGTGCCAAGGCTCTTGCATTTTCTGGTGGATCAATTGTGGTATTGTGCTGTAAAATTAAGCAGTTTTTTTTGGCAATCCCAAACAATGTAACTTCCACCGAAATGAAGATACTGCACATGTGTTAACTGTGAAAAGTTTCAGCCCTGAATAGTTGCCTTGAAGCTTTTTGCGGTGAAAAGAATTATGTATTTTCCTCTCTTTGAAAACAAAATTATTATTTTTTTTTTAAAAACCATGTTTAAACAGGCTGTTTTTCTAAAAGGCCCCCTTTTTTTTTTTGTTATCTTTAGTGTGGTTAGTTGCTTTATTGCTAATCTTGGTGGGTAACTGTATATTATTCGCTCTATTGTTCAGCAACACAAGAGAACCTTTGTCATACTCCCAACAGGGCTATTTATATAGCGTGGCACTTCTGAGGGCTTCTTCCTGCCCTGATGTTCTTCCACCTTCTGGGGAAAAGAAAATAGTTCATGTGAGCAGGAGTGTGAGCAGTGGTCGTTCCTGCCAGCTGCCCAAAGCTGGCTGCTGAAATAAGGGCAACGTGCAGGTCCCCCCAATTCTGCTTGGAACAAGCTTGGTGGTTTCCAAAGACACTGGTTGAGGTTTATCCAAAAGTTTATTGAACGGAGAGATGGGCTCAGGTCTGGCCATGGAGAGTGAACAAGGTGGTCCTCACTGCCTGTCACTTGGGTGCCACCACAGGATGGGGTCCTTGCTCCCCGTCCTCCCTACAGCCCTCACCCTGCAGGCTTCATCCAGAAGGTCCCTGGGGACCCAGGAGGGCTTGGGAAGACCAGGAGCTTCTTGACTTTTTTTTTTTTATTTTTATTGCTTGGAGCCTTGACTTCAATGGGGGATTTTCTGTTAAGGGACATCACCAAACAGGAGCTTTCCTTGCTAGGTGGGTGTTTCCTCCCTGGGGTGGGCAGGTGGGTGAAAGCCTGAGGCTTTGCTCACCTGTGTAGCCATGACTTGGAGCTGTGGGTTTAGACGGGCTGTGGGGCAGAGCAGGACTCCCACGGGCAGCCCCCTCCTCGCTCAGCCGCAGCTCTAAGACACACCAGGAGGGATTCCCACCCTGAGCAGAAACGTGAATATTGCCTGCGAGCTTACCTGAAATATATTTATGGCTCTTAACGGACCAATAACCCCTGACAAGGAATCATCACAAACAACAATTTAACTTCTCTGAGGAAACAATGAGCCACCTTCGTTCAAAAGAATCCCAGCCTCGAGGTCAGCGATGGAGCAGAGCTTTGGGAGAAGGAGCTTCTATTTCACACGCCTGCTTTGTATCTGACCTGACGCAGGGCACCAGCCGCCCGAGCTGTGCTCTCCGTGGCATTAGCAATCATTAACATGCTCAGAAAACTTGGGGAAGGAGGCATGCTCCAGCATAAAAAGCCACAGCTGATGGTGCTTGCATTTTGGCTCCCCCATTAACAACAGTGTTTCTTAGAGGGAGAATAATTGTGCTTTCAGATTTGGGAGGGAGGTTTCCCGGTAGCTGAGAATCCGACTCTGTGTAGAAGCAGGAACAGCATGTGGATGTGTAACATTAAGTGTTAAACAAATGTAAGAGAAGTGCTCAGTGGAGAAAAAGCTGCCTTATTTTGTGTGCAAATATATGGGACAACTGTTAAACCCTATGGAAAAGAGGCTACAAACAGGCATGTCTCCCTGTTTCGGGTGATCCTTGAATTATTATTTGTGAAAGGGGCAAACCCCCTTTCTTTTTATATTTTCCGTTGCTAACCAGCTGTGCAAGAAGTTAAACATAGTAATTAACCCATATGTGACCCACTACATTTGACTGATTTCCAGGCAGGGACCGAGCGGTAACTCTAGCCGGCAATTTGAACCTACCATGTTCGTAATGATGATTTTACAGTGTAATGGTCGCACTAAATCCTTTCACTTTTGCTCTGTAGCCGCTGTTGTGACAAGAAAAGCTGTGGCAACAGAAATGAGACTCCATCAGATCCAGTGATAATTGACAGGTAAGGACTGCTATTGTTTCCTTCCATTTTTTTTTCCCCCCCTCTCTCCTCATTATAATGAAACACCTGCCCTGTGTTGCTAATGGGGAAGAATTAGGAGTATATACGGATGAAATTTTGTTTTTGATACCGAATTAGTTGTGCTTTGCAATTGCGATTGCCATGGAAGGGCCATATGGAGGATAAGGGAGCGCCCTGCTCTTTGGAGGGCTCCGCTTCTTGTAACTGATTCATGTGCATAAAGAGGAGATTTTTCTTTCTGACTTTCTGTGGCTCAATTCACATGCTGTGCCAGGGAAGCTTCAGGAATAAAATAATAATAGTTTGTGATTTATGAAATGTGGTTGGGTGCTTATAAATATTTAACTTTTATTTGAAAAATGTTTGAATCATTATCACTTTTAGCTACAGTAGTTCTGTTGGATGCAATCCATCTACATTTTAAGGTTTTTATTTATGCATAAAAACAGTTAAAAAAATAGATCTGCAAAGTAAGGGTTTTTTTCCCTCTTCTTATTTTCTTTGGTTGGAATACTATTTTGACTGTATTGCCAGTTGATTAATTCATTTTTGCCTGTCTTAATTATTGTGTTTTTAACCAGATCCATATTGCTAATCTGACATCACTGAGTAAATCACTGTAGTATAATACATCTATTTTCGTTGTTCCGTGCCACGTGTAGTCTCTCTGCTTGCAAATTATGCGAAATAGAAGCCTAATAGTAATTTTTACATTTTAGTTGTCCGAGTTCCTTGTACAAAGCCATGTGTGATAAGCAGGTTATTATACAGCATTGCTCTAGGAGAGTTAAATGGGCATCAAGTACTGGGAATACCTGCCCTCAGCTGGGGAAAGGAATCCCCCTCCTCTAACCTGTGAATAGAGGGACCCTAAAAGGAAGCTACCCATACCTATAGGGGTGAGAGAGTAGAGCAGTGTGCTTCTCCTTGCATTATCCTCTGGGTTAATGTTTGCTATATTAAGTCTAAAGTACCTTCCGTGCCTGTGTGCCCACTTTTTATGAAAGAAGGTGAAGAGGGTTTGACTTACTGGGTGCCACACACAGAGAACGGGTCCAGGGATATGGCAGAGCCCTGCCTGGCACTGCCCTCATCCCCACCCCCAGACTTACACTGCTGCTTGGAATTTGGTAAGAAAGGGCATATATTAGAAGCTTATAGTGGATGTTTTGATTAGCTGTAATAAGTAATCCTGAGAATGTTTAAATCTCTGAAGGTATCTCTATCTATTTTAACTAGGCGTGTTTTCATCTCTGGGAGCGTGAGGGTAGTATGAGGAAAAGTGGGGGGTGGAAAAACCCCCACAGTGTATAGAGATGTGTTTTATAAGCATGCTGCGGAGTTGAATGCTATAAACATGGTGTTAGAGTGGCATTTTGAGCGACATGAAAGCTACAAAATTCACATGAATTTTTCATTGTACTGGAAAGTGAGATGTTAAGATGCTAATGGCAGGTTTACGGAAATATTTTGTTTAACTATCTAGTATGCAAAACTGCTAGTTGCAAATCATTTTAAATTATGAAAGCCAGAGATGCTGTCTGTTGTGTGCTTCCTGCAAAACGAGGAAAACAGTCACGTGAAAAAAAATCCCAGATCGAGCTTCCTAGCAGAGATCAATTTATCAGTATTTACGTAAATTGATGCAAAAAGGTACCAATTCTGAAGGTTATTTTTAAAATGCAAGCTAAACATAGTTTAAAGATCATAATACAAACCCTACCTCACCACCTGTACTGAATCACGTTTGGCTTGTGAATGGGTTAAGCTTTTAAGTTCTTCACTTGGTTTTAAATTGTGACTTTGATACAGGAGGTTGATATGACTGTGGTTTGAATAACATTTGATTTTGACCTGTTCCTGTGGGTTGCAATGGTATAAGAAATTTGACTCAGCAGTACTGTAATTAGCCCTCCCCGTGTTTTTGAAACAGGATTGTGTTACCTGGATTGCATTAGTGTGGCTTCTATTGTTGCCGCTTCGCATCTGTCCCAGTAGGGTACTTAAAACCTTTTCTTGGCCGGGGCTAGTTCAAACAATTTAGGCCAAATAAGTATGTGCTTTATACAGTTAGTGGCTTTAGTGATGTTTCTTGTGACATTTATCCTATTCATTTTTTTCCACCCTTTTGGTTTGGAAAGGATGAAGCGATCTATATGGAGCCTTTTTTCACCTTAAAACGAGTCCTTTAAAAATTGTTCTAACGTTAAAATGCCTGCACAAGTCAGAACATGTGTTTAGTTGTACTCCATTGTCACTTCTCCATGCGCACAATTTTTAACTATTATGTCAATTGATATGCAAAACCATATTTAGCTATTTTTATTTGCATGTGAGCTTACAGAATTCATTTACCATTTGAGCTAAAGCACTCCCACATGCCTTGTGCTCTGATAAAGTCCTGCCTATGGATTTAATATAACTCTTGCATCAAATCCTACGAATCCACAGACTCTGACCTAACATAGAATTTAACGTAGAATCTATCCATGGGATTTTCAACATATGTACTTACATGGAAATGCTATCCTCTTCTTACATGCTGGAATACTATTTTGGATTGATTAATTCTCTTTGATGAGGCTAGAGAAACTTGGGATAGAGAGAGCTGTGTCTTTGTGGTGGTTTAGTGAACTTGGCGACGAGGCTCTTCGGCAACTTCAAAGTTACATGTGTTGTGTTCTTTTTCAAACCCTAGATATATATGAAAAGTAAATCGTATATTTTTATTTAATCAGAATGTGGGGTTTTAAAAAAGTCTGTAGTTGTGTTTGAACCAGGATATGACTTAATCCTTTATAAAATTGCTTTATACTTTGCTCTATTATAGTATCAGCAGATACAGCAGTGAAAGGGATCTACAGAAATTTATACTCGTAGAGCAATCTAAATTTTCTCTGGAGAACAAAATAAATCTATTATGCTTATAGAGCAGTCATTTCAAGGGAGTTTCTTGGAAACTTGTGCACATCTGAATCATCTTCTTAACATAGCCTGTATATTTTATTGCTAATCCAGTTACATGTGTTGAGATGAAGATCTGATGAACAGGAGCTCATTTTAAAAGGGGTATTATTGTCACAACACAAACGCACAATTCCTCCCACAAGTGCAGTGGCAGGGCTGCATTGTAATCACACTTAAAGAAAACACAGAGCACTTCCTGTTATTAAATTAAATTCTAGATTGATTTAACTTTCAAATTGTAACTCATATTTGAATTTAAAAGGTTTGCAATAAAATTCCTGTGAAGAAATTGAATAAATTGTAGTTTTATTACCACTCTGGATATCCTGGTGTCCTAACCTTTTTCCTTACAGTTATCTTAGTTCAATAAATAAAACCTCATTAGACTATTCCCATTTCAACGAGTTTATTAAATTTTACAGGAGTAATTAGCATAAGCTGTGCTAATTTTTCTGGAAGACTAATGAGAGAGCTTCCTAATTAGGTTTGCTTTGTAAGAATCAGAAAAGATGATAATGACAAAAGTCACATAGGGGAGAAAGTGGGGCTTTATATTATTCCTTGGTTCAGGAAAGAGGCTCCTCTCTCAGCATTCTGTTCCAAACTTTTAAACCCAATTTACCACTGTCGGGACCAGTATTTAATGGTGTTACCGGTGCCTGCTGGGGCTTCTTTACCTTTTATGGCTGCATCCAGTAAACAGGAGTCCTGTTGATTGATAAAATGTGAATAATCACTGCAATCCCAAATATAGTGGCAGAAGAATCTCAGCGTTTAGGATCTATACCATATACCTCCAGCGTGTGACACCGCATGGGAAAAGGGCTGCAAACAGCCTGTTTGGCAATTGCTGGTCCATCCCAAATTTTGCTTCTCCCCAGAGCATGCGAGCAGGCTGATGAGAGTGACTCAAAATCGGCTTTGCTGAGATTTACCAATCCAGATGAGACCTGCTTAAGGGATCTCATGACCGTCTATCTTTTGGATAGATAAACTTTAACTGTGGTGTAAGTTGACGGGCTTGGTGCTGGAGCTCTGCCCAGGTGTGGCAGGTCAGCATGAGGATGACTGGGGTTTCTTCTGGCCCTTGTCTGGCAATATATTGAAGTTCTCCACGTGCCGCTTTGGGTGCAGTTTCTGAGGAATGAGGCTCCCTCTGGCTTATGCATTTCCAGCACAACCAGAGCTCTTGTCCATGAACTCAGGGGTTGGATGCTGTAATATTTTTTATGTATTATTATCAGATGGCACCAAAGTATATTTTAATGTATGACCGGCTACCAGGGGTTGAAAGGCCGGTGTGCTTTTGACACCTGCTGTATGGGATGCTCGACTGGATCTCTCTGTAACCCATCCCTGGTACACCCAGCTGCCACGGCTAGGGAGGGAGCCAACTTACCTGCGTGTGTATTTGAAATCTTTCAGCCTTTACCCTGAAAAATTTTATGTTTGTGGGTAGGATTTCGCTGCGCAATGACATGAAAAGAGGCGTGAATGACTTTCAATGTCTCCATTTTACCACTTTACAAGTCATCACGTAGTGGATTGTGTTTTATGGGCATGATCATCTTTTCATCCTAAATACCAGGCAGGTGGAAAAATGACACGCAGGACTGTATCGCGTTCAATGCATCCTCCCCACAAATACACTTGTTAGGCAGACGTGGCGATTAATGTATTTTGCAGAAGGTTTCCATGCCTGGAGAGAGGGTGATGGAGATGTGGGCAGGCTGGCAGAGTGGGACAGCCTCAGGAGAGGTGCCGTTGAGAGGCTGAGGTGGCCATTTGGCCTGGGAGGGAGCTGCTGAGGATTGCTTTACTGCAGGGGATGGCATCAGTGCCACAGCGGGGGCACAGGCTGGCCATGGCACTGGTGTCACAGCAAAGTGGCAGAAGATGCTTTGGAAGTGGTGCCTTTGCAGGAGTCCCAGTTTTTGGTCCCTCTTGGCCATATGCAGTAGCTGAACCTGGCTGTGTGGGGTCAGGGGAAGGTATCCTGCTCCCCCCTTGCC